GGGAGGGCCGGCCCTCTGCCCAGCCTCACAGGCTCACAGCCAGACCTGCCGGCCCCAGAATCTCCAAGGAGAAGCACTATGGCCCCTCCCTGGGGAGGGAGCCCTGAGGCAGGCTGCACCTTCTGTTTTCCCTCCCCGCAGGGCAGCTCTGACCGCCAGTCATTTTCTTGGCAGCTCAATACCAGAGGTTCATTGTGGTGCTAAAAATAGGCTGTGTTTAGACACTCCGAGGCTCCGCCTGGAAACACGAAAGGCATAACCAAACGCTTCCATTCCCGCAAAGGGGACCCCTGGGCCTCATCCTTGTGGAAACGCACGCTAGGCCTGGGAGGGAGGCAGGCGAGGCGCCATTTGCCACGTTCAACAGGCGGGGAAACAGGCTCGGAAGGGTCTCCTGTAAATCGAAGACGGATGGAGTGATGACCACCAGCTCTGAGCAAACACCAGCTCCCATCTTATGGGTCATCTCATTGAATCCACCCAAGACCCCAGGAGGGAGAGTCTATGGTTGACCCACTTTATGGAGAGAAAACCGCAGCTCAGAGAGGTGATGGCACCTGCCAGGGTCTCATAGCTGCAAGTGACAGGACAGGGTGTTAATGAGATTATAATTTCCTACGTGAACAAATGGAGACTGAGAGGGGAAGGGACTCGCTGAAGGCGAACCCGAGCCCCCGGCCCGGGGTTGTAGATACTCAACCTGTGGATTGGGGAGAACCATCACACCCACCTTGCAGGCTGCTGGGAAGCAGGAACTTGTGAGAATATGTTTGTAAAACCTTTACACACAGTGTCCCACATATAATAGGTAGGTGCTCCACAAATGGCAGTTAGCTTCATTTCCCCGTTGTCTTTGGGAGGGAGGGTGAGGGGGGACGGAAACGGAGAGAGAGAGGGAGGAGAGACTTGTGTGGGGAGAGAATGAATGTGGATGGATATGAGAGGCGGAGAAGTCTTTGGGGTTCCTTGGGGAGGTGACACTGTGGTGGCCCAGCAGGGTCCCTGAGCTCCAGGACCAGAGCTGAGTAATGCCAGATGCCGCCTCCACAGAGCCCTGAATGTAGTTCTCCGAGGCTGTCACTGGGCGTTCCAGCACATGGCATGGAGCCATGGTTGCAGGTTTAAGCCCCAGTGGGGAGGCCAGTCCCCTGATTCTTTTCACTCATTTCCTCCATCAGTGTTTCTTGGGGACCTACTACGTGCCACATGCTGGGGCTAATGCAGTGAGAGCAGACACGGTCCCACCCATGGTTCTGGGTGCTTTGCCTCCAGATGAGTCCCCTACCTCCCAGCCCAGGCAGGATGGTGTGGGGGGCTGAAGTCGGCAGCCATTCCCCAGGAGAAGCCTTCCTCCTCACAGGCCCTTCCTGGGAGGCCCCCTGCACTCCCTGTGCCGGCAAAGTCTGTCTCTTTCTGTTCCCTGCCAGCTCCTAATGAGCTCATTATCCTCTTAAAACCCATTTGGCACCCACTTAGAGAAAAGATGTGTTGAAATAGAAAAGAATGAGAACGGAACAACAAAAAAAGACCAGAAATATCCTCAGAGAGACAAAAAGCCTCAAGGAGCACAACAGCTGAAATCTTTGTCATCTCCACGGCAGCAGTGTGCTGCTGCGGCAAACAGCTTTAAAGGCTGCTCACATCTGCCCATGAGAGGGGTGGGGATGGGGGAGGGCACTTTTCCTTGAGCACCTACTATGTGCCAGACACTCTGTGCAATTTTCAGTTCAATCCTCCCAGCAATATATTTTTTGGGGGGTGTCAAGATTCTTCGGTCCACTTTGCAGGTAAGGCACCTCAGTCGGTGGGAAGAGGTGTATTGCTCCAGTCACACAGCTGGTGGGTGGAAGAGGCAGGAATTGAACCCAGGTCAGTCTGCCTCCAGAATCCATGCTCTTGCCTGCGTGCCTGGAAGCGCTAGTGTCCCCCTGCCCATCCCAATGAGGGCTGCTGGCCTTGTCTCATCCTGGCCCCACTGCAAAAACATCTGGCACGTGTGTAATCTATATGGCATAACATGGGGTGCCACCCACGCCCAGAGGTTTTAAAGCTGATTAGAGACTGGTCTTTCTTTTTTTATTTTTATTTTATTTTATTTTATTTTGTTTGGGAACAGCCGTGGTCACTGCTTTCATGCTACAGTGGCACAGTTGACTCTTTTAAGGAGGGCGCAGCTAACAGTGGCCCACGTGGGGATCAAACCGGCAACCTTGGTGTTATCAGCACCACGTTCTAACCAACTGAGCTAAGCAGTCACCCCGATACTGGTCTTTCTAAAGTGTCAGTGTGACTGTGAAACTTCTGTGGATCCCCATGCACACTGCTAGAGCACAGTCAAGGTTCCTGAGCTTGGCGTTCAAGGCTCCCCAGGGTCTGGCCCCTTCCCACTGCCTAACTGCATTCCTACCTCGCCCTAAGCTCCTTTGCTCCCTCCATCGCAGTGACCTTCCCTGTGTGTGTGCTGTTTCTCCTCCCTAGGCGCGCTGCTATTTCTTCACCCAAAAAACTTCGACTCCTCTTGTGATACCTGCCAGCTCAAAGAACCCTCCCTGAAGAAGCCATCTCTGATTCCCCTCCCTCCCCAGGTAGTTTCAGACCCTCACTTCTCTGAGATCCCATGTTCTAAGACTCTGCACCCCAGGGTTCACAAACTCCCTGACATTATAAACCCAAATCCGGAAGTTTATATACCAGAGCTCTTTTCTGGGTATACATCTGTAGTTTTCATCAGATTCTCAAAGGGATACATGACCAGACTAAACCCATGGTTAGGAATACAATCTGTGAAGTCCAGTGGTCCTGGGTTAACAACCCAGCTGCAGCTTACTAGCTGTGTGGCCCTGGACAAATTACTTAACCTCTCTGAGCCTCATTCCTCTCCTCTGTAAAATAGATACAGATCTTCCTCATAGAATTGTTATGAGAATTAAATCAGTATGTGTTTAGAGCAGTATTTAGTAAGTGCTCAACAAACATGGGTTTTTAATATCAGTTGCTCTCTATATCTTATACATAACATCTACAAGGATATATCACTGTCTGTATAGTATAGTGATTCAGTATAGCATTTGTTTACATTGTTGTCTCCCTCAGTAGACCCTGAATTCTCTGAAAGCAGGGACTCTGAATTATTTATTTCTGCATCCCAAGCACACACACAGTAGGCAAGCAACACCATGTTTTTAAATGAAAGAGAGAATGGGTAGATGAATGGATTGGTGGAGAGTCTGATGGATAAATGGGCTGCTACAGTTCAGATGAATTGATGGATGGATGGATGGAGGGATGGATGGATGGATGGATGGTGGATGGATGGAGGGATGGATGGATGGATGGATGGTGGATGGATGGAGGCATAGGTATATTGATGGATGGATTGAGGACTGGATGATGGATGGGTGGATAGATTGTAACTTAATGTATGGATGGGTAGGTGGTCTGATGGATGGATTAAAGATGATGGGTAGATGGATGGATCAATGGATGAAGAGATAGTTTGACCCCACAGAAACATGGATATTTGGCTGTTTTGTTCACTGATCTATTCTAAGTGCCTAGAACAACAACTGGTGCATAGTAGGTGCTTAGTACTTAGTTCCTGAATGAATGCGAAGGCATATGGAGGACTCTACCTTGAACCACACTTAAACTCCCATGCTGCTGTCGGGATTAGGAGGGGCTGTTACCATTCGGATCACCCATTGGCTGCCAGTTGAATCCTACGCATTGACCAAGATTGTCATGAGGCCCCCTGCTGGCGGTAATGTGAAACAGCATGAGCCAAATGGAATTTTCTGTTTTCTAATTTACATTCCATTTTCCTCCTGGCTGACGATCCTGAACATTCACTTATAAAGCCGTGGTTCTCAAACCGTTGGGCTCATTGCCATCACCTCAGGGCACTTTTCACACCCGTAGGTATCCCCCGCCACGAGAGATTCTAGTTGGACAAGTCAGGAATCTTTCACCAGGCTTCCAGGCGATTCTGCAACAGATGCCCCACAGACCACACTCTGAGGGACCCTGTCAAAGGGTGAGCCACTGCTGGTCACTCAGAGGCAGTGCAGATGGGCCGCTGCTTCAGGGGCCATCTCTGAATTCCCAAGTGATGCCCAGACCACGTGGGGAAACGACAAAGTAAAAAAGGCAGTGGTTGAGAGCTGTGGTTTTGTGTTTGGACCATTCTGGGTTCAAATCCCAATGCCACCACTCAGCAGCTGTGTAGCCT